CTAAGCAGGTACTAGCCAACTGAAAAGGAAGAAGAACTTAAGGTTAATGCTATTGACCAGATCTTAAAAAGGATTGTAGAAGAGAATTTCCTGAAATTAAGGAAAGACATCCCCATATGAATACAGGAAGCACATAGAACACCAAATAGGAACAAAAAAAGAAACTCCCCATGACATATCATAGTAAAAACACTAAATGTACAGAACAAAGAGAGAATACTAAAAGCAGCAAAAGAAAAACAAGTCACACACAAAAGAAGACCATCAGAATTACAGCTGACTTATCAATGCAAACTATGAAAGCCAGAAGAGCCTAGATTAAGGTATTTCCAGTTCTACATGACAATAGATGCCAGCCCAGAATACTATACCCAGAAAAAATGTCTATTCTAGTTGAAGGGGAAAGAAAAATCTTCCATTATATGAATAGCCTTAAAGAATACAAGTCCCCAAAACCAGCCCCTCCAAAGAATACTTGAAGCAATACAGAGAGCAGAGAGAAACAACTATACTCTATAGCAACGAAAAAAATGAAGTTATAATCTAGGAAACACAAAATTAGACAGAGAACAAAAAAAGCAATCAAAATGACGGCAACCAATGCACACCTTTCAATAATAACCTTAAATATCAATGGACCGAACTCCCCAGTCAAGAGACACAGGCTAAGCGAATGGATTAAGAAACAAAATCCATCCCTTTACTGTCTGCAAGAAACCCATCTCACCTTCAAGGACAGACACTACCTTAAGGTAAAAGGATGGAAAAGAATATTCCAAGCAAATGGCACTAAGAAACAAGCAGGAGTTGCAATTCTAATATCTGACAAAATAGAATTCAAAGTAAAATTAATCAGCAGAGATAAGGAGGGTCACTTCATTCTGATCAAAGGAACACTTAACCAAGAAGATGTTACAATCCTTAACATATATACACCAAATTCTGGTGCACCCAAATTCATAAAAACAACACTACAGGACTTTAAGACACAGATTAACCCCAACTCAGTAATAGTAGGGGACTTCAATACCCCACTGTCTCCATTAGAGAGGGCAACTGGACAAAGAATAAACAGAGAGACGTCTGAATTAAATGATACCACATATCAAATGGCCCTAACAGACATCTTTTGATTATTCTACCCAAACTCCAAAGAATACACTTTCTACTCAGCACCTCATGGAACTTTTTCAAAGACTGACCACATACTGGGCCACAAAACAAACCTCAACAAATACAAAAATATTGAAGTAATTCCATGCATCTTATCGGACCACAAAGCAATAAAACTCAAAATCAACACTGGATGAAGGCCTAGTCACTACACGAAGTAATGGCGATTGAACAACACACTCCTAAACAATGAGTGGGTCAAAGGAGAAATTAAGAAAGAAATAAAAGAATTCCTGGAATTCAATGAAAAGGACAATATAACACAACACAACCTTTGGGACACATTAAAAGTGGTCCTAAGAGGGAAGTTTATAGCTCTAAGTGCCTACATTAAAGAATTAGAAAGAGCCCAAATAAATGACCTAACACTGCAACTCAAGGCACTGGAAAGGCAAGAACAAATGAAAGCTGTT